AATGCAGTGGTTAACTCCAGTTTCTATTAGTAAGTAATATGCATTTAAAAATGAATGTTCCAAAGGTTGAAAGTAAATGTGGTATTTAACATCTATTTTTTTTTGTCTTGTAATGTGCTTGTAAGTTTGAATCCTTTCTGTTTAGGACTACCACAGGATACCACTGAAGAAGAATTTATTGAAATGATGAGCAAGTATGGCATCATCATGCAAGATCCTGAGACAAGTAAGTCTGATTCATAAGTGTTTGGTAGAAACTGAAATTGTGACATGTACTGTTAGAGTGTAACTGGTTGCTTGTAACTATGATGAGGTGCTGTGAAAAGCCTATCAGTACGAATATGCAAGACTTTGCAGTTGAAAATGAATTATAAATGCTAACAACTTCCCACACTTGTATAGCACTTAATAATTACATGTATAACATCAATACTTTAATCTTGTTTTCAGACAAGCCTAAAGTAAAGCTCTACAGAGACCAAAATGGTCAAATTAAAGGAGATGGGAGGTGCTGCTATTTGAAGGTACGTGTGTTTTATAATTGTTATAGGAATAATTACATTTCACTATTTAGAAAAAAATCATTTTGTTTAATGTAGCTTTTGAATAATTGGAAAACTTCTTGAAGTTAGGGAGTGTGCTTGTTTTTTTTTTTTTTTTTTTTTTCTGAAGGTTGAGACCCTAATTCTCATTTGCAGCCACTTTTTTCAGTAGCTGTGATGGAGATTATTTAACACCTGAACAAGATAATTTTCTGCTTGGGACTTAAGTTTTCATTCTGTTTCCTGTATTGTGTATTAGCCATATATCTCACTCATTGATAAACTTTGATATCTAATCCTCTGTCTTTTTTTTTTTTTTCAGCGTGAAAGTGTTGATCTTGCAATAGAACTCTTGGATGAATCTGACTACAAAGGACAAACTATACATGTTGAACAGGTATGTCTGCTTGTTATATGCTTTATTTGGTTTTTACCTGGAATTTGCTCTGAATTTCCACCTTGCTAATCATTTGACTTGCTACAGGGGTATAACCTGAGAAAATACACAGATGTACAAGTGTAGTAAGAGGAGTAGAGAAAAAGGGAAAGGAGAGGGGTGAAAGGGGGGGGGGGAGGTTTAAATAACGAGGGTGGTCATTTGGTTAGAAACTTTAAGGGAAGGTGGTGGGAGAGATGCTTAGAAAGGCAAAGGGACACCAAAGGTCAGAGATCAGATGTAGCAGATTGCTAATTGAAAGGTAGTGATATAACCAGGAGGATGTTTCTTATTGGTTGCTAGAGTATTGCAGTCTTGTAAAGGTTTATCAGTGTGTAGGAAATGGCATACAGTAAATCAATAACTTTTTTGTCCCTTTCTTTGGTTTTTTCAGGCTACATTTCATCTGAAAGGTGATTACAATCCAGCTCTCAAGAAAAAGAAAAAGAATAAAAAGAAGAAAGCTGGAAAAGGACAGGAAAAGTAAATTTGGTTTGCCATTTCTGTATGTCATTGTATCATTTTGGGGCTCATAAAGATATGATTTTACATTACAATGTACTTATATCAGGAAAATGTTTTTTTTTTCAGATTACTGGATTGGGTGGAGAGAGATGAGAGGAAAAAAAATGAGAGGATCATTGTTTTCAAGAATATGTTTGATGTTAAAGACTTTGAGGTTTGTTGTTAATTTTCTTTAGTCTTTTCTGCCAAAAGTTACTCAAATTTTACATGCAGAACACAATGTGGGAAAGAAATTAGAGCATGACAGGATAAAAAAAATGAGGAATAGAATCTTGAGGGAGCATTTACTGTGATACATCGTATAAGGGGAACTGTGATGCATATACAGAAATCGCATAAGCTAATATTTAAAGGTTTCAAGACCAGGGGCCTCAACTGAAGGGGAATGTTGACATTTTGAGTTGATTGATGCATTTATGCAAAACACGAATCAAGAGTTTTTCTTGTTTCAGCCGGAACTGAAGTCTCTGAAATAGTTAATGAAATCTTATCACATTTAGACAGCCTCATGCATAAGATTGTGCCTTTTATTTCCAAGTTTTTTTCCTTTTATTTGTTTGATTCAGATTTAATTACCGTAATAACTTCATAATAACTTCTTCTGCTTTCTCTCTTTGTAGAAAAATCCTCTTTTGATCACAGAGTTGCGCGATGACATGAAAGCAGAATGTGAGAAGTTTGGTGAAGTGAGGAAGGTGATCGTGTTCGATGTGAGTGTTTCTCACCTTGGAACAAGGTGTAAAGTTTACAAACACATTTTTAAATTGATGTTACTGGTAATTCAGTCTCTGGTTGGAATTTCTCAGGAAAGCTATGACTTTGTAAAATTATACTTGTTATGTTGTAATAAAGTTTATGTGTCTTCCGATAATTGTTATAAAAGTTTGTCTCAAGCTCTCTTTTATCGATTTAAGTTGCTAATATTGCAGTCACTGAATAATGCGTACATGTAAATATGTGACTCGAGGTGATAAAGAACGGACTGTTAGGAATTAAAGCTGCAGTAGAATATTTATTTTGTCACTGAATCTCCAGCATATGCAAAGCTTTGTAGTTCATAAGGTTATTTGAGAATTTATTCTAACCAGTAATTCTGCTGTTTATGTCTGCACAGCGTAACAAGGAAGGAGTTTGTTCAGTGGCGTTTGCAACATTTGAGGGAGCTGAGACTTGTTTGCCTGTAGGTTCCTTTAAGATTATTTTGTGGCCTTTTTTTTCACCCTAGGTCTTTCCCCTTCGGTCTCTCTTGGTACTCGAAAGACTCTGGAGTTGAAGTATTTTCTCGATTTTTCTACCTCAACTTGAATACTTTGATATCTGATTGGTTCATTTTCAATTCTACTTGATTCTTATTGGCTGTCGTTTCTACTTGTACTAGGTGATGAATGGTCGATGGTTCGCCGGCCGGAGAATAACGGCTGAAAAATGGGATGGAAAGACAAACTTCAAAGTGGAGGAAACGGAAAAACAAGAGGAAGAGCGGCTTGATGAATGGGAGAAATATTTAGCTGGTGAATTAGACTAAACAGAGGATGCACCTAACCAAGGTAAACCTGGTTCACGAAGAACGAAAAAAATTTGGTCGTCTTGCTTGAAAACGAACAGTAGTCAAAAGGGCGAATTACGCTTCAGGTCTTGAGAGTTAGAGTATTAATTAACATTTCGTCATTTTCAGGAAATATCGTAGATATTCACCAAACGAATGTCAATAAACGAATCATCTAACACGGAGAGCAACGCAACTGAGTTGAAAACCTGTAAACGGTTTAAGAACACAGGATCAATGATTGCTTCAATGGCAAATAGACTTTAGCGCAACCTGTTGCTAATGTTTGCTCCGGCGGATCCCAACACCCGACTTGTGTCAAGCATGGAACAGCTGATTCGTACGATCTGCTAGAACTAGGGGAAGAAAGGAAGGCTTGTAGTCTTGATAAGAAATATAAAACATTATACGAAAAGCAGCAATTTATTACAGTATCCGTAACAAAGAGCATAGCGAAAACCACCGTTATCACAAACATCTTATTTGTTCGAGGAAATGAGACAGCTATTTAAGTAGTGAACAGTTCGAATTTACTTTTGTGCATTTTGGATTTCACTAATCTACGCCACCGCTTCCTGTGATATTGACAAGTGTTCATCAAGTAATGGCAACCTTCTTTGATGTTTATCGTACATTTGTTAGAAAAAATACTCACTAACTATATGACTACAGTCCCTCTGATAAAGGGATAACGTTCGAACCGTCAGCTTTTAAAACCCTCTACGGTGGCCAATTTGCATCATCAACTTTTTTATAAACCATATTACAATGTAGTACTTCCCACAGACGCAGTATCACAGTTTCTTTAGAAACTTACTCCCTTTACACATAAAATGCACGAGCGCATATGATTTTCGTTACGTTGAGAAAAAAAAAACTGAACTCGTCTTTATTTACGGCAAATTTCCTTCCAAATTATGAGATGCCTGTGCTAGTATTAAACTTGTTTATCAGTTTTCCCAAACACCGTGAATGTCCTACTGTAGAATCTCATGTAAAACAGTACTGAATTGTCTTCCTCCTCAAACGCCACCTGCTCCTTTTATTTATCTAATTAACATAATTTTAAGGAATTGGCGGTAGAGTGGAGGAAATTATCCTCCTAATATTATGAAGACATTGAGAATTATCATAACAGTAAAACAGCACTGGCAGAAAATAACGATTTATCTCTCTCTCCCGTCTTATGAATTACGAGCGTCTCGTTTCTTTATAATTCGGCAGAAGTATTGGATAAATCGCAAGCTGCTACGCTTTGTCATTTTTTTTTTATCCATATTAAGCGTGCTCATAAAACCCTATTTTGGTAACCGGATAATTGAATGACCGGTAGGAACTTAAATTTCAATTTCCCAACTGTATTCGCGTTTCAATTGCAGTTATTACTCACCGGTCGATGGTTCACTTCAAACTTAATGAAATGCCCGACAATTTTTATAATATACTGAAAGAGGAATCGCTTACTGAATCAGCTGGTCCGTGTTTTTGCGAAATAAATTGACAATGATTCTTTAAAGATTTTTTTGTCACTTTAATGACCGGCAAGGTTTGCTGTATTGGTGCATTAATGGCCCTTGTGTGTGATTTTCTCGACAAAAATTTCTCGACCGTCATTAGTAATACGACAGATCCAAATTAACTGCGCTTTCTATTTAGCTGATCGGTGAGAAGTTCAGCGAAATCTTAATTTTAACAAGCAGACTTTATTAAGGCACGACTTCAATTTTTGCTTATAGTGAATCTCCTTAGGGCTATAACCGCTTCGAGGAGTATTTTGAAAATTAATTAATTTCAGTGTGCAGGATAATCTAGCCCCTAATCTTAGACATCATTTATAACTTCGGGAAATTTTAGTTGTTTACTTCAAGAACTTATTGACAGCTCTGAAACATTATATGTGTATGTGTATAGCACAGAACAGTATTATACGCACTTAGAACTTCATCGTTTATTCAAAAGAAACTGCACCTTTTTTTTTTCCCTTTTACAAAATGAGTGTATTTTAAAGAAAAGAAAAAGAGGTACGGAAAACTTCTTATATAAATTACTCTAGTCTGGTCCTTTGTTTAATTTAAAGAATTGTCGTTATCGAGCAGAAGCGTATAGATTTTTTTAATTTATCGCCGCACGAAAACGTAAATAGAAAAGTGGTCCCATTTATCTTCGTCGCTTTTCGTGCTATCCGCAGTTAATCCACTCTTTCCGCCGCTACTGGAAACCAGGTCGAAATCGGAGTCTTTAAGCCGTTTGAAAGCTCTCTCGATATGATTATGTTTAAGATAAAATCTGTTTGTATATCTGTTGCCTTCGGGGTTAGAGTCCCGTGTCTCGTTCAAAGTTTCTCCAAACACCTCGCGACATAAAGACACTTGGCCAGAAACTTCAATTCTTTGCAACTTGCGAAAAGTTACGTCTGCTTGGCCGGTGCGTCCAAACGCATATGTACCGCGAATGTGTAAGGTAATGTAACCAAACTGTTCGCTTACGACTGTAGCTGCTCGTTCCCGCCTTTTTGAGTATTGCTCAAGTTGTTGTTCTAGATCTTCCATTTCAAAGAACTCTGCTTCCGCTTTGAGCCTTTCAATCTCGCAGAAATCCTCTGGAAGATGCAATCGTTTGGTGCGCAGAAAGTCAAGTATATACCGAAACAACGACCCATCGCGATCTATGAAATATTTCCCAGAGTTTTCTTTATTTACTTCCTGCCTACCGCTGAACATTCGACCCAGAAGCGAGTCGGGATCTCTCGTTAATGTCAACACCGATGTTGAATAATACTTACCGCCGACGTTGAGTTCGATGTTTTCTGGAAACAATCGATAATGTTCTTGTGTTGGAGACACGCCAAAACCAGAAGCCATGTTCAGCACGATGTATTTTGTAGTGCGATCCCAGCTGTACGTGTTGTGTTTATTTGTGTTTGACGACAGCGAATAAGAAATGAGGAGGTGGAGAAATGAATAGATTACTGTCTGCCGCGTGTTGTGTTTGGTTTTAGAGCTTTCCTTTGGATAATAATTGACAGCTCCTTGGGAATAACATTAAATTATTTTGGTTGTGAAAGGGGGACTTACCTCGCTGTTACGCAAAACAAAGCGTCATCGTCGACGGAATGAATGTAACCACATGAAGAACCCATTCTGCCATTCTAAGCTGTGTTTTGACAATCGGTGCGACGCTTCCCGCCAAACAGATTAGGCAATTCTTATCCATTATTTTATATTTATCAAATAATGAAAGATGGGATTTAAAACAAAAGTGCAAACAGAAATAAAATCGTAGACTCCCCATCTCGCCATTTAAACATTGTTTAAGAAACTGCATATTATTAAATACTGGAAAAGAACATTTCACAGTGGACATTTTACCAATTTTTTTTTTAAAATATCCATCTTCACCTTTTGCAAATACATTTCAGCATTCATAACAGTTCGCGTCTTTTTTTCTTTTGAACTAAGCTGCAGTCACCGTTTAAGATTTTTTATATTGCTTTTACGAACGACGGCATACTCGATTTATTCAAATTAATATCCGGTAATAATATGGGATTGCACCTTTTATGAAAACAAATTGAACCGAGTTGTGATACCGAGAGCATTTTAGAAAGAACTCATTAGTTTATTTTTATTAAATGGATCTCGGAAATATCACACACAAATTTTTAGTTTCGTTCGTGTGCGCGACCCTTAATATTTACTTTATTGTCTGTAGTTAAACAAACGCACGTTTTTCTTTAGAATTGGCCCGCCTCTTTTCTGCGTTCAATAGTCAGTCTTCGGGGTAGAATAATCAGGTAATACTGAAGCAGATATCTCGTCTCCGTGGTTACCAGGATCATTGACAGATGATACTTTGGGACAGGACAGGACAGGAAAGGAGAATTGATCCGTTAGACCAAAAAAATAGTGTGCCATGTATGGTTAAATTTTTACTCTCTTAAACCTAAAATAAACGAGCAGTAATTCATTACGAACGAGGAAAAGAGAAAAGTAGAAGTTACCCAAGGGGTGCCACCTTTCCTAGGCACTACAGATATACCAAGTAGATCTTAATGGGGTGATAGCTTTTACGACTGATGGTTAAAATTTTGGCCATGTTACGGCTAACGGCAAGAGATGCTAAAGGTTAATATCTTTCATTTGCTGTCACCAAAAATTTATTTTACGTTTAACTTATCTTACAACTAACCATTTAAATTTGTCAATTTTTACTCCCAACTGCTGAATTATTTTGCCCGGTTTACGGCTAACGGTTAACCCCATTGAGACCTTCTAGGCTTCCTTTGTACTTTCGATGGTATTTTTTTTCCGACATATTCTCGGTTTTTATTTGGAGTATGAGAGGTACATCTTAGTGTAACAGGTGAACAATGACTTCTTCCGGTTATTTCAACCCAACGTCCCTGCGCAAGTGTAACTTTCTTAGTGTTTTAAATCCAAATCCGTGACTCTATCTATGCAATGTTTGCTGACACAATTGGGTCGTGTCAGCTTGCATATCTGCAAAGGAAGTCGAGTAGAACTTTAATGCAGCTTTAAAGCGTAGAAGCTAAAGATCATGGTTGGTGAATTCCTTATTAGCGTACAGGAAGCTGTACATCTACAGTGTCAATCTATCCTATGGCTAACGTACAGTGTTAAGCGTGCAAGAATCTAAGTTTGTGGCCAACAGTGGTATACTTCCGCTTACTCATGCATGTAATACAGGATTTTAAGCAGTTGGTGTGTTAACATGGGTGATTCTTAACATGGCTTTTTGGTCTTGTTAATTTTCACAGATTTGAAATTCTAACTCTAAATATACTTTATGTAGATCCTCTACTTTTTCGATGTTTAGATTATATTTCGGTCCAAAAGATCACATGCAGTTTATGATCTCTTGTTCGGTCCTAATCTGGAGAGAGAAGTCCAATCGTGTCTAGGTATGATTCTATGTTGACGATGAGAGACAGGGTTGCGATCACAAGGGATTTCTTCAAGTGGTTTCTCTCTCTATGTTAACACATCTGTCATGAAAGATATGAAACATTAAACATCTTTCCTTATTCGACGCTCGAAATCAACCATCTCATTCTACACTGTGGCCTCACTGGGGACTTACGCTATCGCCGATCTTAGCCATTAGTGAAGTAGATCTCAGACTCGAGACTTCTTGGACGAACTCGAACTTAATGTTGCGCATCGTTTTTTTCTGGCGGCTGATTAACGATCTTTGAAGAAAATAGCACTGTGCGCAAAGTGAACAATGTTACCACATATTTTAGTGATATCTGTGGTACCATAAAGACCATCTTTGATCAAAACGACCTTTAGGCGAGTGGTCGAACTCTTTGGCAGGAAACGTCTCTACTCGAGGATTCAATTTTCTCCGTCTACTCAAACTGAACAGACCGGTACCTGAATTTGATTTTGAACGCTTTTATCGTCTACCCTCAACTCAGCACTTTTCCATACGGTACGTTATACGTTACTATGTGCAATTTTGCCTAATTGGCAGGGGCTGAAAATTCCATATATACTTAGTCTGGTCCGTTACTTATTTGCAATATGCTAGGAAATGTCCCTATAAGCCCTAGCAATGAACACCTTTTTCACGTATCACAATTCTAAGAGGTGAAGAACTAAAATGCATCAATATTCAACATGTGTTGACTTCACGATTCTATGAGTTCTTGACTGTACGTTATTCCGAAAATAATAATTACATCCTGGTAAAGTCACCATAGAAAAAGAGCATGAATGCCTAATTTCTTTTACCACGACGAAGGAAACAAGACAACACTGGTTTCTTTTACGATTTGTTTTATTAGGCACCCAAGCATCTCGGTTGTTTACGGGTAGTAAAGTTGCGGCATTTCAGAACTCTGGCTTAACTTAAAAACGTCTTGTCAGAGTACCCCTCACTGAGATAGGACTGATTACCCAAGAGATTGGGTAAGAAATAACAAAAGAACGAGAGCATGTTTAGGATTCTGCTTTTGAAACTGCGAAATAGTACCATACAATTAGTTAGAAAACACACTAACCGGCCAAGAGGCCATCATCTTACAAGGAAGAAATACTTGACCATGTGATTTTAAGCATCTGCCATCGAACTACCACAGAAATAATTCCTTCTCCTGCTTCGAGAGCACAGAAGAAAAGATAAACCTTCCTTTGCCGATGAAACGGTTTGGATATCATCATTTTCGGCTCAAACGTTGTTAAGCAGCGAGATTTGTCGCACGTCATCATAAAGCTCTAGATAGAAATAATCAGGGATACAACCTTACCTTAACGCCGAATTGGTCAGGCCAGCGAGTAGAATTTCTTTCTCGCGAAGTAATACACAGTTAAGACCTTTCCTTAAAGAAAGAACGATAACACCTTTTCGCAGATACCGCCGAATACACTCGTAACGTCACACAGAAATTTCGCGGGATTAAGTTCCCGTGCTTACCTGATGTTTGGGACTTACCTACTGAAATGATATGTCATACTTAAGAGCTCCTTAGTGTGGACGCCAAAAATGTGTTATCAAAATATCTACCCAATCGTTTTAAGCGTTAAAAGATACTCCTGTATCTCCAGAACATAATGCAGTCGAAATCTCTCTCGAAAACAAGGTCCTTGCCGATCGGCTCACTGGCCTCCATGCTGACTCAGAGTCAAAGGTCGGATCAGAGTGAAATATTAGTTAGCTGGTACAATTTAACTTTGGAGTTGTCGCGGCAGAAGAGATAATCGCTCTTTGAGTCATGAACCAATAAATCTGTAGATCGCGGACAGAACATGCCGGGTACAATACGTCACGCAGTATGAACAGGCTATATTCAAACGTCAGGGCTTATCTAAGCCGTTCTTGTCGCTGAATCATTCTGCGTTTGTGAAAATTGCCATTCATGCTGTGATTGCGTAGTTATTTCCAAAGAGAAATTATGCGAAAGAGTCCTATATTTACATAGCACTCCTAACGCGCAAGCCGTGTGGATCCTCGCGCCTGTTTACATTTATCGTCAACTTTTATTAATTTCACTTTTGAAGTCAAACACCTCTCTTTCATTTACCAATCCAGTCCTCTTGTTTTACATTGACAAGTACATGGATCATTTTACGCTTTCCTGGTGAGAATTGTTTTCTTGACCAAAGCTCGTCATGAGACACATTGCTCGCTTGAAGTCCGCAGATTTTGTGAAGTATCCCATTTCGAGATCTGCCGTGGATTTTAATTTCATGAAACGTGATAATTGATATTATACTGCTGCAGGTTTATATATTAAACATGTTAGTTGATTTCATCAACAAAAGTCAATAAAGCCATAAGTATAACTGACAGGAGTTAACGCCTCGAGTAGATGGTGGGGGGCCGAATTCTTTTGGTGACCAAAGCTCGTCATGGATTCATATAGTTTTCCTGATTCAGAATGCTTTACAGCAATCTCTACAGAAGCGATCACTTCTAAAATGCCAACATTTTCCAAATTCATAAAATAATCTAAAAACCACAATGGAATTATTTTATATGTAGCTTTGTATAGTACGAGACGTTTCCCAAGCAAGCATGTAGACGGCAGCTTTTCAAACAGGAAAAAATTCTTAAGTGTTCCAGCTGCCTTGATCTCACAATGCTGAGATATCAGGGAATCTTTCGCAAACTGTTGAGCACCCCTGAAAACGAGCCATTAGCAAGGCCTATAATGCTTGACACGTATCGAAAATCTGTACGCAAGCTGGAAGTGTCAAAAAGAAGGAGTCTATTTTGGCGCTTTGTAAATTTTTTGAATTTATTAATTCATTATTGCCGAAAGGAATATTCAATCTAAAGGTTTAAAGAGGCAAAATTGTTTGATTCCTTCACTCTGTTGCTAAGCAGTGCGATTGGCAAATAACTCAACAATTGGCTTTTGCGTGTTCATAAACTTCTTGTCAAATTTCTTGAACAATTATTTACAAAACTTATAGATAGCTATTTATTTTTGATAAGTAGCTTT